CATGCGCTTGCATTCGGTCAAAAGCCTGTCGGAGATGTCCTACATGGTCGGCTTTGGATGGGGACTTTACAACCACGTCTTCGATGTAGACTTCAACGGTCCGGCCTATAAGGTCGTGGAAAATAAGGTTCATAGCTCGCTGGTATGTCGCGCCGGCATTCTTTAGGCCGAACGGCATGACTACCCATTCATAGGTTCCGATTGCTCCTGAACATCTGAACGCCGTTTTGTGGACATCTTCCTCGGCTACGAAAATTTGGTTGTAACCAGCGTGGCCATCCACGAAAGACAAGAGGTCTGACATAGGCATGGGGTATTCATCCTTGGGGGTTGCGAGATTCAGATTTCTGTAATCGGTGCAAACCCTCAAAGCCCCAGTTCTCTTTAAAACTGGTACAATGTTGGCCAACCACTCAACGTACCAGGCCGTTCGGATGAAGCCGGCTTTAAGGAGCCGTTCAATTTCCTCCTTGACTTTAAGTTGTACCTCGGTCGAGAAACGCCTTGGCGGCTGCTGGAAAGGCCTGAACCCCTTCTTGATTTTTAATTCGTGCTCGAACAAACTTCTTGGCAATCCAGGCATCTCATAATAATCCCAAGCAAAACAATCCTTATATTCATGGAGCAGGCCGATAACCTCGGCTGCTAACTCGGGGTCCAAAAGCTGGCTTACAAAAGGAGGTCGTGGTTCGGCCTCCGACCCTACATTTATCTCTAATAAAGGGTCCTGGACCTCAGGGTAGTCATCCTCCATCTCGGCGGGCGCCGTTTCTAGGTCGTCAAAGGTCAAAGTGTCCGCCTCGTCTGATTCGTGGAGGAATTCGATCAGGTTGATTGGTGAGTTTGGCCGTAAGGATTCCTCCGCCCAGTGTTCCAGCAGTCTCTCTAGTTGGTCGGTCACGGCCGCTGCTCCTTTAGTGGCTTTGTCTGTCATCTAAAGGCTAGTGAGGTCGATCAGCACTTCGCGCGCCGAATCCTGTCGGACATTCTCGGCGCCTAACTCCAGTACTTTCTGGGCCGTCGTTCTGGTTGGTCGGCCGCTTGAATCGTGGCCGGTGAGGACAACCCATCCAACGTCGTCGTCGTAAATTCGAGCTTGTACGGCGTTGGCTTCGAAAGGCTTTTCGTCGGCCGGGTGTATAGACACCTTCTGGCCGTCCCAAAAGAATAACAGTTGGAAGAGGGAAGACAATATACACCCAGATTGGTGGATCCAATCACGGCCGAGCAATATATTGTAGTCGACGCTGGACTCGACCACATAGAAGGCCGCGACTCTTGTCTGGTCGGCCACGGTAATCTTTAATGGCAACACGCCGATGGTTTTAGACTTATCACCGACGAAGCTGCTCATGACCACATCGCTGGGGATGAGGTCCTCCTTTGACTTGTCCAGCTTCCTCATCAAGGAATAAGGAAGGATGTTGACCGTCGCCCTGCAGTCAACGAAAACCTTGGACACGGGCACACCCTCTACATGAGCCGAGATGTATAATGGTTTGAGGTGTCGGTATTTGTTCGGCTCGTCTCTGGGTATCACCTCGTTGAAGGCTACGGCCAACAACTCTTCCTTCGTCTTTGGCCTTTGATCAAGTTGCTCCTCAGCCACGTCATTATCCAGGCCGTTGGTTTGCCCTCCTGGGGTTGAAAACTCTGACGGTAGTACCAAGACCATATTCATGCCGACCTCCTTCGGCTCCTACGGGTTTCCCCTACCATCTTCCTCTTCGGCCACACAGCCGTCTTTGGCGAGGACCTTTTCCTCGACTATCCCGAGGATCCCCTCGTATTCTTCATTGGAGATTCCTAAAGTGGGGTCGTCTTCGGCCTCATGCCCAAAGAAAGGATCACTGAAGCCATCAATCATAGGCCTTGCGGTCCTCGGGATATCGGCTGTGGATGCTTTGATCTCAGGGGGGTCCGAGGCCTCGACCTCCTTCTCGAGGGCCCGTCTAGCCTTCGCCAATGTGTCCCTGGCCGTTAAGTAGTCGTCTAAACGGCTTACCCGGGCCTTTTCCTCGGTCGTCAGGCCAAAGACAGTGTCCGCCAGGGTCACAGTGAAATATTGGCAGAGATATTCTAAATCGCCCTTGCTGAAGGGGACCTTAGTCCCCGATCCTCCGAGGTCGGGCTGATAACCTGGCATCCCTCTCGCTCTGGCTTCCCTGTTTGCCTGGTATACGACCTTGATGGCCGAGTCAGATCCGTTGGTAATGAGGAGCCCCTCTGCCTTTGTGTTTTTGAGGGCCAACTCGACGATTTCACGGTTCTCAGGGGTCATGCTGTATACGTCTGTGGCCAAATGGTCTTTACGGAATTCCGCGAGAAAAGACAAACCGTTGGCCGAGAAAGGGGGATCCCTTCCACAGTAGACGTCGATGATACCCACATCTATTTTCCCCGGGGCTGCGGCCTTTGACTGGGCCGAGGCGGCCGTTGTTCTACGAGGACTCTTATCCTGCCTAGGGCACCACGTCCTTGGAGGCTTGATGCTGGTCGACTTGGCTGTAGAGGGGACAATTGGTGCCGATGGTATCCCGTCTGCAGTCGCCATTTTCCTTTGGCGCTTAGAACCCTCGGCCCTGGTCGCCTGTATTTTGGCCTGCTGGACTTGCCTCTGCATCCTTCTCAGCTGGGTTTTTGTCAACGGTTCGGCTCTGCCCCCAGGTCGCGCATGGTACCAACGGACATCCTGTATGACCGGCGGTTTGAAAGTTTTTACTGGCCTAGGGGCGGCCTCGTCTTCGTAGCCCATCGAGATACTAGCGGTTTGTGCCCCCAGTCGGTCGAAAACAGCCCTGCTGGCATGCCGACGATCGTTCTAACCGCCGAATT